CCAGAAGATTTTCTGTGCTTTTGTGGATCTTGAGAAAGCATTTGATAAGGTTGTAAGGAAGAAAATGTGGGGACTGTTGCCGGGGTATGGTGTGGATGATCGATTGCTAAGGGTTGTGCAGTCTCCTTACTGTGACTGTAAAGCCTGTGTGCGGGTAGGGCATGACCTGTCACCCATGTTTAACGTCCAAACGGGCGCAAAGCAGGATTGTGTCATGTCTTCCTGGCTGTTCATACTGTATCTCGACAGCTGTTTACAGAAGCTGAAAGCTGTTTGGGTGTGAAATTTTGTGACATAAAAGTAAATTGTCTGCTGTATGCTGATGATACAGTGCTTATTGCACCATCAGAGGCAGAACTGCAGGCATTATTCACGTGTATGAAAGAGGAATGTGAAATTAAAGGTCTCCATTTGAATGCTAATAAAACTAAGGTTCTGGTATTTGAAAGGGACGAAGAGAGAACGAAGTGTGAAATATGGGTAAATCAGGAATGTCTAGAACAGGTAAATGAAATTGTATACTTGGGGAGTGCTTTTAGCCGGGATGGAAGATGTGATTCAGATGTGGACAGGCTTGTCGCTGCCGGGAACAAAGTCAATGGTGCCCTGACTGCGTTAGTGAAAAGGCAAGGCGTAGTGAAGAGTGCTCGCCTTGCAATACATACCGCAGTGTTGGTACCGACTTTGTTATATGGCAGCGAAACCTGGGTATGCCAGAAGAAGCATAAAAGCAAGTTGAATGCTGTGGAGATGCAATCTCTTCGTAAAATGTGCGGCGTTACCATGGCCGGCCGAAAGCGAAACGAAGAGATTCGCAATATGGCAGGTTTGAAAGATGACCTTATCACAAAAATTGATAAGGGCGTGCTTCGGTGGTTTGGGCACGTTGAGCGAATGAGTGAAGTTCCAATGGTGAAGAAAATATATAGCGCGAAAGTTAATATTAAAAGGTGTCGAGGTAGACCGAGACTAACTTTCGAAGACCATGTGAGCAAATTGCTCGAAGAGGGTAGGGTCAAGAGTACTCGCATACCTAGACGTGCATGTATGAAGAAGATAATGAATCTGAAAGAAGCGAAAGAAGTATGTAAGGATCGTGACACTTGGCGATCTGTTCTCTCTGGCTACCCCGTCTGGGATTGTGCGTGAAAATAAAAAAAATCATTATTTTTTATTTAATACTCTTAAAGAGTATTAAATAAAAAATAATTCGTAGCCAACACACAGCCTTTACGAGAGGCTTAAGTTCAGAACTGGACTTGTAGAATATATTATATAAATTTAAGTAGTATTTATTTTAGTATAAGCAAGTTTTTAGTACCTAGTACCTTAATTACGATAAATGCTGAAATTTAAAAAAATACTAAATCTGTTAAGTTTTAAGCAAATAAAGAAGAACATAAAATAGAACGGGATTAATTCCAACAAAGAGTTGTCTATTTTGTTAAAATGCTCTCAAAAGCCGATATCGTTAATTCTAAGCTTATCAGAGTAATTAATTTGCCTTCAACGTCGACCCTGACATTACTAAGCTCACTTGTTTAACCTTGGTTACTTTTTATCTCAATTTATTTATCAGTTAGCCCTGATTCAACAAAAGCAGTATAAGATTATACTATATAAATAGATAATATTTCGATTTAAGCCGTGTAGTGGCGGTTAAGAATATCCACTACCTCATATCTTCCCGTGGGTGTCGTAAAAGGCGACATAGGGAAACAGGGAGGAGATGGGCAGCAGCATCTTCCTGATAACAGCAAAATTACAATAAAAAAATTGCGGTTGCCAACCCGCTTGCCAAGCGTGACAACTACAGCAAATATCCCCCTATGATGAGAGTAACAAAAATACGGCCCCCAGTCCCCGGCGGCCCCGCTATTCCTGGCTACGGTGGCGATCGTGGTAACGGCGGGGCAGGGGGTACTATGAATCTCTGGTGGAGGTTCAAATGCCACCTAAGACGACTCGACCTAGTAACGTACAACGCACGCACCCTGAGGACTGACGAGAAGATCGTGGAACTGGAAGAAGAGATAGACAAGTTACGCTAGCATATTATAGGATCATCCGAGGTCCGAAGAGAAGGGGAGGACACGGTAATCCTCGAATCCGGTAAGTTGCTCTATCAACGGGAGGGCGACCATCTGCCCCAAGGAGGTTTTGGATTTATCGTCCACAAGTCTCTCGTTAACAACGTTGTAAAGATTGAGAGTGTGTCGACGAGGGTTGCGTACTTTATACTCAGAATCACCAAACGGTATTCGCTGAAGGTCATACAGGTTTACGCACCAACCTCATAACCTCCTCATCGGCACATCTCGATGGGGAGGTGGAGGAAATGTATGAGGATATCTCTAGAGCCATGCATTCCTCCAAAACCCACTATTCAGTGTTAAGAGGCTTCAATGCAAAACTAGGCACAAGAGAGAACGGAAAGCTGAAAGTAGGGAAATTTGCAATAGGGCAACGGAACCCAAGGGGCCAGTAGCTGGCCGACTTCATGAAGAAAGAGGGACTCTTTATGATGAACTCTTTCTTCCAGAAGCGGCCCCACAAAAAGTGGACCTAGTCGAGCCCCGACGGTTCAACGGACAATCAGACGGTCGGCGGGTCTTCATCCCTTTGTTGTCGATATTCAACGCATTAGAACCAAACGGTTTGCTTCGTCTTTTGTAACGCGTACAGCAAAGGTGTAAAATAATTTGTCAGCGTCTATCTTTCCGTTCGAATACAATTTGGGCGTCTTCAAGGTAAGAGTGAATAGGCTTTTATTACGATAAGACAGTGCGATTTACCATCTAATCTGCTGCATCACCACTTACTACTAGGTGGGATTATAGTCAAGCACTGGCTTATAAAAAGTAAAAAAGAAAAAAAAATCTTTAGGAACTATGCCAAAAAAATACAGGCTCGAGTTGATTGGTGTAAAAAACGATGTCAATTATGATCACTGTGATCAATCAATCAAAAAGCTTAATGAGATATTGTGTAAAATATTGTGACCTGTCACAATGTTTCGTCTCCTGAGATGAAACATGGATACATTGTACATACAGGAAGTCGATGGATGCAGGTGGCTCAGGACCGTGCTTTGTGGCATTCCTTAGGGGAGGCTTATGTTCAGCAGTGGATTTGTGAAAGGCTATAATGATGATGATGATGATGATGATGATAGTGATCGCAAAGTTCCAATAGTTTTGTGACTCACCTCCTGAATATGTTTGTTCCATGTTAAGCAACCATCAACGTACAGACCAAGGTTCTTTACATGGAGAGAGAATGGTATGACATTATTTTTAAATATAATTGATGGTAGGGTGGGAATATCTAGTTTCGATAATAATCGTGGGCTACCTAAGATTATTGTTTGGCACTTAGATGAGTTTACGTTTATGCCATACACAGTGGACGATTCGGAGATGTATTTCATCATTTAATAATGAGATAGCATTAGAGATATTTGAGGATTCCACTTGCACATATAACTGCAGATCATCAGCATACAGATGGTAAGAGCACTTGAGATTTAATGTGATGAGATTGATAAAAATTGAAAACAGAAGAGGAGAGACTATACCGCCTTGAGGGACGCCAGTAGACACGTCACACCAGTCAGATAGTATATGTATGACGAGAACCATTCCTGAGCTGAATACGAGATATTCAAATGAGAAAGAAGGGCCAACAAGATATCATGATCAACAGAATTAAATGGGTTAAAAAAATCAATTAAGATGAGGACGGTCAGTTTTTATTTTTCCGGTAAGAAATCAACTGTCTTCCACATGGGTGTGGGAAACTGACAGCAAACCAACAAAATTGAAAAAGGCAAGAAATTAAGCGTAATAAATGTTTGCAGTTTTACCTCCCAGACGGATCCTGTCTGCAGATCTCATCAAGAGTAAAAGATGGTTAATGTTGAGTGGTACTCTACCATTTGTTTTCCCAGTGTATCTGAACAAAATATGGAAAAGCGACCAAGAAATTGCATGCTATTGTATCATGACAATGCTTCCATACCGCATAAAGTTCAGACCTCGCACCATACGGTTTTATTATTTCCCCAAAAATAAAAATGAGAGGTTTGAAATTTGCAGAGTCACAAGAGGCCGTGATAGCTTTCAAAAAACAGGAGATAAAAGATGCCCTTAGACCAATGGTCATTATGTTGTCAAAAATAGTTTGAACGAATGAAAAAGTTATTAAAATGTAATAGAGCATATTTTAAAAACAGTAAATATATTAGCTTACATATTAAGTGTTTTCTTTATGAGTTACTCAAAACTTTTAGATCACGGATATCCTTTTAAAGATTTCACATAGAAAAGATATTTTAAAATAAGGTATCCAATTTAAAATAGATTAATGTGGAACAAACATGGAATTTAAATCAATAGATATTGAAGCCAACTATCATCGTGGAAGATTCACTTCCTAGCTAAACACCTCTCCTTATATATTTTATGTGGTTCAAATTATTTTTTATGAATTGATTTATTAACGTATACTTCTAATCGACGAACTCTAAAATATTACAGGGCATTGAAATAGAGGTATAATACAAAGTTGTAACATTACTATACGACTATACTATATTACGGATCTTACTAAAATTGTTCAAGCGATCAATATTTGAATTTACAGGAATTCACTTTTAAAATATCAATTATGAGAAAATTCTACTACTCCGTAAATATTTTTTATAGGATAAAGGTAACAAACGAGCACACAGTCCATCTGATGGTAAGTAGTTGCTGTGACCCATACACATCTACACCACGTCTGAGGACTAAGAAAGAATGCCTAGTTTCTAGTATAAAGGATCGGACCATACGGAATATTGCAGCATAAAACTGCTATTCTACGTTTGTATTCTATGAGAAAGTAGTCCATCCCCGTCGAGCTACAACTATATGAGCTATAACTATATAATAATATAGCTTTAGCTATATTATTCTAATAAAATATATTTGTGAAAACAAAAAAGTTTGTTGTCTTACCATATTAAGAAGAACAGTGTTGTGGGCCTGGTACAATGAACCATCGTCAGAAAAGAAGGTTTGGCCGGAAAACGGATGTAGGTTCATTCCAGTATTGACTGAATTATCTGCAAATAAAAAAAAATTAAATTAAATTAATGATTAGAGAAAGATTTGGAATTATTTCAGGGGCAATCCATGTGTTATAATTTAGGAGCGGATTTATCTTAGCCAATTTCAACCTCTGTAACAAAGTTTCGTTTTATTCGAAAGCTGCCAATAATATCACAGCAATTACTGACAGCTGTATCAATGCTTGATATGCCTCTTATACGATAGGATTAAAAATGAGCTCAAAAAGGTTGAATATACGGGGAAAACTGAACAGACACAACAACAAATTAAATAAATAGACTAAAGAGAACATGGTGACCTATTAATGGCAAAAAATTCATACAACCAGAAAAGGTTAACCTTTTGAAGTAATATAACAAGCAGGATTGCGCATTTTTAGAAAGGGCTACGTTTAACAGTGTACTTTGAATCATTATTAATAATGATGATACTAATGTAACAGTTGCGCGTGTTGGCGTGTTTACTCATATAAGCGTCAATCGTAATTAGAACACAACATCTGACAATGTTTTTATATAAAAATACATTGGGGTGCAGTATTATATTATATTAGCTGTACTCGTAAGTTGATGAAATATAGCTATAGCTATATACAAAACCTCAGCTAAAAATCTATTTAAGCACAGACGCCTCAAGTACAAGGTATAAGGTATGTTATCGCTCAATGAATATAATAAATTCCATAAAATACTAAATCAACAGAATTCAATAAATTTCATAAAATAAAGGTTTTCAAATATAAAACAATAGCGACAACCAGTCAGTAGGTCGGTCTGCCATTCGATCGAAATCGATCGACTTATTTATTATTAAATAAATTTACAGGCTCGACGAATAGCGACTGTATGTCTTTTTCATGTAATGTCTTTTCAAAATATTAGTTAATTAGCTGTGTCCGTCCATGTGCACCTTTTTTGTAAGGAACAGTATTGGGCGTTCTGACGACAGCAGGGTCTTAAACAGGGTAGAGCCTTGCTGCAGCTATATTAATTATATAGTTGTAGCACGAATGGGTCGGCTCCACCGGAGCAATAGCAGCTTAATGCTGCTGTGTCTCGTATGTGTAGAGAACCAGAGACCCTTTCGTATGTATATATATATATATATATATATATATATATATATATATATATATCCTTGTCAAAAAAGTCGTATTTTTAATTGGGCATCTTCCTTATTTCGCCAGTGTAGTCGATATACTTCCGTCTAAAGCGTCCATTGACGACTCTGCCCCTCACTTCTGCAGTATGAACAACCGAAGCATATACACTTTTAATGACCACATTTCTACACCATTTTACTTTCATATTTTTACTGCCACACCTAATTTTCACTATCATACATGTCATCATACAGCCCTTCCTAATCCACTGCTGAACATAGGCCTCCCGCAAGGAATGCCACAAAGCACGGTCCCGAGCCACCTGCATCCATTTACTTCCTGAATGTCTTACCAGATCGTCACTCCACCTAGTGGGGGGACGCCCTACACTTCGCCTGCCGGTACGAGGCTGCCACTCGCGAACCTTTCATCTCCATCAGTTGTCGGTTCTTCGAGCTATATGGCCGGCTCATTGCCACTTCAGTATACTGATTTTTGAGCTATGTTGGATACTCTGGTTCTTCTGCGGATATCCTCGTTTTTAAGTCTATCACGTAGAGAAACGCCGAGCATAGCTCTCTCCATAGCTCGCTAAGTGACTTTGAGCTTCTTCATACGGCCAGCAGTGAAAGACTTCGTCTCAGATCCATAGGTCATCACTGATAACACGCACTGGTTGTAAAATCTAGTTTTAGGTTTTGAGCTGTCGGACGAGAAGATTCGTAATCTCCCGAACGCTGTCCAGCCGAGTTCAATCCGTCGATTGACCCCTCGGTTGAAGTTGGACTTACCTAGTCGGACTATTTGTCCCAGGTAAACATATTCGTCAACAATTTCGAGATTGGTGCTTCCAACAACTGGCGTAGGTGTGAAATGGACGTTAAACATGATCTTTGTTTTGTCCATGTTCACCGTAAGATCTATCCGTTGGGAGACACTATTGAGGTCATTGAGCATAGTGCTTAGGTCCTCCAGCGATTCTGCCATAAGAACTATATCGTCGGCAAATCGAAGTTGAGTGATGTACTCACCATTGACGTTAATACCGTATCATTTCCAGTCCAGTATCTTGAAAACGTCTTCCATTGCAGCGGTGAAGAGTATGGGGGATATTACGCCACCATGTCTTACACCTCTATGCTGTTGGATAGGTTTCGTACTCTGGTTCCATACTCGGATAGCCATCGTAGCCCTACTGTACAAACACTTCAGCACTTCGATATACCGACAGTCCACTTGACATCGCTGAAGGGACTGCAGCACTGCCCAAATTTCGTCACTATCAAAGGCTTTCTCATAGTCCACATACGCAAGACAAAGTGGCAGATTTTACTCTCCGATCTTCTGTACAATTTTCCAAAGGGTATATATGTGGTCTATGGTGCTAAAGCCTTTTCGGAAACCAACTTGTTCGGGAGGCTAAAAGTCGTTGAGTATGCATGTGAGACGATTCGTAATGACACTCTAATGAATAATTTGTTGTCATTCTTAAATAAATGTTGTCGGCCTCCAAAAATAATAATTAAATATTTTACTCACTATAGGCCTACTTGTCGATAACACTATAATAGTGCACTATACTTGTATGCTTCGTAGGCAAAGCAAACGTCAGGCAGAGCGCCGAGCGACGTAACCTCTCTCTGGAAAGCCTAGCGGCTGTCTAATTTGAATTAATCCAAACGCGGGGTTTTATTGTGGTTATATAGTACTTTTAAAATATTTATAGAAAATAATAAAGCTATTAAATTTTTAATTTAAAAAGATTAAAAAGATGTTCTTCTAACATATTAAGCTATTATTTTATTAAATGAAGTAACCTAAACTGGTGGAAATATTCGTTTTACCCAAAGCATTTTCATAAAAAATTTACTTCGTTTAAATTTTTAATTTCTTATGTCATCATCATCATCATTACAGCCCTTCACAAGTCCACTGCTGAACATAGGCCTCCCCCAAAGAATGCCACAAAACACGGTCCTGAGCCACCTGCATCCATCGACTTCCTGCATGTCTTACCAGGTCGTCACTCCATCTCGTGGGGGGACGCCCTACACTTCGCCTACCGGTACGAGGCTGCCACTCGAGAACCTTTCTTCCCCATCGGTTGTCGGTTCTTCGAGCTATATGGCCGGCCCACTGCCACTTCAGCTTACTAATCCGTTGGGCTATGTCGGTCACTCTGGTTCTACTGCGGATATCCTCATTTTTAAGTTTATCACGCAGAGAAACTCCGAGCATAGCCCTCTCCATAGCTCGCTGAGCGACCTTGAGCTTCCTCATACGGCCAGCAGTGAAGGACCACGTCTCAGTTCCGTAAGTCATCACTGGCAACACGCACTGGTTGTACAATTTCGTTTTAAGGTTTTGAGGTATGTCTGACGAGAAGATGTGTCGTAGCTTCCCGAACGCTGCCCAGCCGAGTTGAATCCGTCGATTGACCTCTCGGTCGAAGTTGGACTTACCCAGTCGGACTATTTGTCCCAGGTAAACATACTCGTCAACAACTTCGAGCTTAGTGTTCCCAACAACTACCGGCATAGGTGTGACATGGACATTAAACATGATCTTAGTTTTGTCCATGTTCATCTTAAGACCTATCCGTTGGGAAACACTATTGAGGTCATTGAGCATAGTGCTTAGGTCCTCCAGCGATTCTGCCATAAGGACTATATCGTCGGCAAATCGAAGGTGAGTGATGTACTCGCCAGTGATGTTGATACCGTATCCTTTCCAGTCCAGAAGCTTGAAAACGTCTTCCAATGCAGCGGTGAAGAGTTTCGGGGATATGACGTCACCCTGTCTTACACCTCTCTGCAATTGGATAGGTTTCGTACTCTGGTTCTGTACTCGGATAGCCATCGTAGCCCTACTGTACAAGCACTTCAACACTTCGATATACCGACAGTCAACTTGGCACCGCTGAAGGGACTGCAGCACCGCCCAAATTTCGACGGAATCAAAGGCTTTCTCATAGTCCACATACGCCAGACATAGTGGCAAATTGTACTCTTCGGACTTCTGTACAACTTGCCGAAGGGTATGTATGTGGTCTAGGGTGCTAAAGCCCTTTCGGATTTCTTATGTATATAACCTAAATCAAAACATCTTTTCTAGTTACAAATTTCCTTGGAGTGTGTCAATTTGACTGTATTTTTTGTTTTGTAAAACTGTGAGGCATTTCAGATAATATGACTGACGACGATGACGCTAAAAGGGAAATTAAGCAAACCTCTGTTTAGTTTTCTTGATAGCATCCACAAATATTAAAATTTATAACATAGTTGTAGCACGAATGGGTCGGCTCGACCGGGGAAGGACTACGCTCTCATAGAATTCGAGCGTAAAGTAGCAGCTTAACACTGCTGTGTTTCGTATGGTGAGTGTAGAGAACTGGAGACCCTTTTTACCAGAAAAGAGGCATTCCATCTTAGTCGTCACGGGTTGTCACCCGCACGGGTTATCACGCATCTGAATTTTGATTCTATATTTAAGAATAGATGTAGATGTCTATGTGTCATAACAACCACTTACCATCAGATGGACTGTGTGCTCATTTGTCACCCTATCCTATAAAAGAATACTGTATTAATATAAAAAAAATTAACTACATTTAGACCATAAAATTTCCTAAAGTTATGATTAATTAACAGGTTTGAAAAGTACTGTTTTGAATTAATCAGCGCTTGGAACCTATACACGTCCTTAAAATGACTGTCATTTCGTTAATATCAATATTTCCTACCTACAATCTTATATCGCCGATCACCGATTCTGACATAATTAAGAAAAACGAAAAGAACAATGGCAGACTTTCATACATAAAATTAG